TGTGGTAGGGGGGAAGTGGGACTTGTAGGGGTTGCCTTACGTATTATAGGTTATACAGCTAAATTCAGGCATAAAATTTCCACCAGTCAAAAGGGAGGTGTGTGTCGGGGGGTTAAGAAGGACTTTTAGGGGTTGCCTTATGTATTATAGGTTGTACACCTAAATTCAGGCTTAAAATTTCAGCCAGTCAAATGGGTGAGGGGGGGTAATTAGGACTTGTGGTGGTGGGGGGAAGTTAGGACTTGTAGGGGTTGCCTTATGTATGATAGGTCTTACACCTAAATTCAGGTTTCAATTTTCAGCCAGTGAAACAGGTTGGGGGGCAATTAGGACTTGTAGGGGTTGCCTTATTATAAGTTGTACACCTAAATTCGGGTTACAAATTCCAGCCAGTCAAAGGGGTAAGGGGTAATTAGGTCTTGTGGTGGTGGGGGGTAGTAAGGACTTGTAGGGTTGCCTTATATATGATAGGTTGCACATCTAAATGCAGGCTTAAAAATTCAGCCAATCAAAAAAAGAGGTGAAAGGGGGATTACCTAAATTCGGATATAACATTTTAGCCTTTCAAAGGGGGGTTGGTAATAAGGAGTGGTAGGGCTTGCCTTATGTATTATAGGCTGTTTGCATTATTTATTATACCTGTTATTGCTTGTGTTTTGTAAATAGTTTGAACTTGTTTGTGAAATATCTACTAGTTTCACAATGTAAACATTTCTAACTACAGTATAATACTAACTGTCTAACATTTCTAAAATGTAAACAGTTATCACTCTGTGTAAAAAGTGAACTATCAAATGGTTATACAATGGTATTCCTGGCATATAAAAGTAAGCACAAATGCACTCATTCATTCCCAATAGCCATTGTTGTGTCTGCAGTGTGTTGAGGCATTGGGAGAGTTCTCCTTCTCTCAGTACAGGCAATTGCTGACCATCCATACATCCCCTGGTGACTATTGGAGTAACTTGGTAACTGACTTGTGACCAAACATGCAAATGAGCTTTAAGGGTCAATCCTGGAAGTGCAGCAGTTGTCGTTACTATGCCACTAGTTGGTACCAGATTTCTGTCCTGGTCATAAAAAAGACTTAGGAGCATTTTGGATTCCTTTCTGTGACCTAGGGGTGGAATATGATCTTTTATTTTTCAGGGTGACTTCTGCTTTGCTATACCTTTTGATTTCTTTTGTCCTTAGAAAACTAGTTTTGCTGTTCTCTGCACAGGAAGGGGCATTTTAAAGTTAACTGATCCGATCTAAGTCTTTCCAGATGTCCCTTTATGTTGGCTGTGTCTGTGATGGCTGTTCAGCTTAATGTGTTTCCTTTTTTTCATGTATTGTAGCCACATCACTGCATTCTCCTTCTGAGAACTAGCACCTCGATACATGTTACACATGTCCATTTCTCAAACATCACTGTTACTGTGATGTCCAGCCTCGCGACAGTTGGCGATCCATTGCTGAGGGTATGTGTTGTCCCACTAGAATTCTCATTGCCAGTATGCAGACCAGTCTGTTAGTAGCCAACCTCCCCCCCC